CTTTAGTCCCAAACAAGTTGGGGTAGGCTACAGCTGAAAACCGAAAGATCTCGCAACCAACTCATGGTTCTGGCACATGGATAGCAAGCTCCCATGGATTTTCTTTGGTGATACTCCAGTCCTTCAGATCTCTCTTTACGGACTCCTCCCATGTCAAGTTCGGTCTACCCCGACCTCTCTTGACATTACTAGCACGCTTTAGCTGTCCACTATGCACTGTTGCTTTTGGAGGCCTGCGTAGAATATGCCCAAACCATCTAAGACGATGTTGGACAAGCTTCTCTTCAATTGGTGCCACCCCAACTCTATCTCATATATTATCATTCCGGACCCGGTCCTTTCCTGTGTGGCCAGACATCCATCTCAACATGTTCATCTCCGCCACACCTAACTGTTGAACATGTCGCATTTTAGTCGTCCAACACTCAACGCCATACAACATTGCGGGTCGAATCACCGTCCTATAGAACCTGCCTTTTAGCTTTTGTGGCACCCTCTTGTCACAGAGAACGCCAGAAGCTTGGTGCCAATTCATCCATCCGGCTTTGATCCGATGGTTCACATCTTCATCGATATCCCCATCCTTTGCAACATTGACCCCAAATATCAAAAGGTGTCCTTCTGAGGCACCACTTGCCCATCAAGGCTAACCTCCTCCTCCTCATGCATAATACTACTGAAACCGCACCTATGTACTCGGTTTTAGTTCTACTAAACCTAAAACCTTTCGATTTCAAGGTTTGTCTCCATAGCTCTAACTTCCTATTAACCCCCGTCTAACTATCATCGACTAGCACCACATCATCCGCAAAGAGCATACCATGGGATATCTCCTTGTAAATCCCTTGTGACCTCATCCATCACCAAAGCAAAAGGATAAGGGCTCAAAGCTGGCCCCTGGTGTAGTTCTAATTTAATTGGAAAGTCATCTGATCATCACTTGTTTGAACACTTGAACAAGTGAAATGATTTACATGTTCAAAAAGGAACACTTGAACACTTGAAAAAGATAAGGACAGTTGTTTGCAAAAGGAATTTCTTCAAAAGAAATGTTTCAAATGAATTATACAGATTATTGCAGACTCAGTTTAGCAGAATTGCGACCAAAGAGAAAACTGTCATAACCGAATGAATCTATGAATATAAAGAATATTACAGATGTGCACCTTGTAACCTTAATAAAATCCACCCTTTATAAAAAAAAGTACCTTGTAACCATATAGGCCTCTGAAGTCACTGCTACTAAGGTTATCTGGGTACCAGTCACCAGCTCGCTTTGTGATAAATGGCCAAAGGAAACCCCATGATATGACTGATCCAAGAAAAACTGAACAGTTAACAATATGGGGAGAAATAAGACCATACCCAACATAACTGGGATTGAAGTTGAAATAAAACCTGCCAGAATGTGATAAACATAACTTCAGACGAATGGACATTCTTAACTTGATCACATATATATATTTATACAACTTATATTCAAGCTCAAGTTTGAATAGGTAAAAAGCACGACGTGTGGCAAACTAGTCATTAGTGGTGTAACTTCTATTCTTCTGTATTTTAAAATGTCACTAGCACCGTAATAGGAAAATACATAATTTGGGGGAAAGAATGAAAGTGAGCCTGCCGATTATAATGTATATTAGTTTACTATGGATCTCAGATCCTCCCTGATCATGAAAATTTTAGTTAAGACAAAATGGTGAGTACATGATTTAGCAATAACATATGAAGTTCACATTCATCATCCACAGCTCATGGCAAGTAATCAGTCCACGTTCATTGCAATCACAATGTTAAGTGTGTCAGCATCGGTGTGCGTACAAAAGAGGGGGGTGGGGGGATGATTGGGGCATTGATGACTTACGTGTTCTTAAAAGCTGCAACTCCAAATGTTGGGAAATTGTCAAAACCACAGGAGTCACCAACACCACTAAAGAACCACTTAAAGAAGCTCCAGCCAAAACTAAGGCCCATGTACTTTACAAGGCAACTGACTTTCTTTCTGTAAGGCAATAGAATAAAAATGCAAAAACATGTGAAAAGGGGTAAAGAATCACAGAAATTAAAGTTGTGTACGAATACTACAAACATGCATAGAAAATTAGCAAGTCTCTTGTATAGTGTAGTGTCACTTGTGCTAAGAATTCTGTTCTGGAACACCAAATGGCTAAACTTTAATACGAAATGTTTGTGGCCATTAGCTGGCTCGATGAAAAATGGGACTAAGTTTCACACATCTGAATTATCTATAAACCACCATGTTTCTGCACATCTGTCCTTTTGGCACTGAAGCCATAGAAGTGAATAGTGGAGGTGCTACAACGTTATGCAAAGATGAATTATCTCCGTCACTCATGCATCTCTACTTCCTACAAGCTCCACTTTGGCATAAGTGTTTTTCCTTCAGAGTTTAGAACATATGCATAGTCATATCTAGTGGCAACAGACACAAGTTTGCCGGGTGGGAAGATTTGTTTATCTGGCACCATCAAGAAGACAAGAACGTGCCATGCATGTTCTCAGGATTGTTCATGCAGTGCAGCAAAAATTCTTGTTGTCCAGAGTACGGTTGAAAGCAATGTAATTATACATCAAAAAGACACCGTGTCCACATTCTTGAAACTTAGATAAGTACTTATTGCCATACCCTGTAACGTCAGCTTCTTTTTCTCCATGCAAGCTACTCCCTCCGTTCCCAAATACTTGTCTTTCTAGGCATTTCAAATGAACTCAACATACAGATGTATGTAGACATATTTTAAAGTGTAGATTCACTCATTTTGCGCCGTATGTAGTCACTTGTTGAAATCTCTAGAAAGACAAGTATTTAGGAACGGAGGGAGTATTAATCATCAGAGCTGTAGCTGTCCCACCAGGAAATGCAAGCTTGTAATCAACCACCAATACCTGCAGCACTTTACTTAAGAAATAATACTTTAACTCTGTAGCTAAGGGTAGAAAACTATGATTTTTTGTTAAAAGAGACCGCCTGCCAGATTGAAATGGCAAAAAAGACCACCTCTGGATCAGATTGGCAAAAGAGACCCCCTTGCCGTGGCGGCAGGCGCGCCAAGCGACACGTGGCACCTGCCGCCACGACGCGAGGCGGCCGGCCCCGCCGCCATGCTGCCAGGCGGCCAGTCCCTGGCAACTGAAATCCAGGCCAGCGACGGAACGGAGCTGGGTATGGTGGGCCATGCCACCACATGATGAGGCGGCCAACACGGTAGCCCTGGGAGCGGCACTGTAGCGACGCACTGCTGCTGCAGGGCCATGCCACCACCCGTTGAGGTGGCCGGCACTGTAGCTGCTGCGCGCTGCACTGTAGTGGGACGAGCTGCATTGCTGCTGCTGCACATATATATAACCTTTAAAATAATTTGTGCATATATATTACCTTTAAAATTGTTCTAACAATATTCTCACTTATGATGAATCAATAGGTCTTTTCTGTAACTTTATCAAGTCAACCGAACCGCAGGTTGTTTCCTCTTTATTTCTATTTATCAAAACCCATATATTCTAGTGGACATGATGACACACACAATGCTAAAATTAAAAATAAATTGCATCAAAGGTTGAACACTGCAATGTGTGCAGCATATATGCGAGACAAATTAGTTAATTAGCAATATAGTGCCAGCCCACGGCAGGCCGCGTGCAGCAGCAGCAGTGCAGCTCGTCCCGCTTTGCACCAGTAGCAGTTCCAGCCGCCTCAACTGGTGGCGGCATGGCCCAGCAGCAGCAGTGCACGCTACAGTGCCGCTCCCAGGGCTACAATACCGGCCGCCTCATACAGTGGCGGCGTGGCCCACCATACCTAGCTCCGTTCCGTCGCTGGCCTGGATTTCTGTTGCCCACGACTGGCCGCCTGGCAGCGTGGCGGTGGGGCCGGCCGCCTCACGTCGTGGCGGCAGGCGTCACGTGTCGCCTGCCGCGTCTGCCGCCACGACGAGGGGGTCTTTTTTGTCAATCTGATTCAGAGGTGGTCTTTTTTGTCATTTCAATCCGGCGGGTGGTCTCTTTTGACAAAAATCATCTCCCTTCTTTGACTTTTCTTTAGATAATACTCCCTCTGTCCCAAAATAAGTGTCTCAACTTTATACTATACTAACTTTAGTATAAAGTTGTACTAAGCTTAAAACACTTATTTTGGGACAGAGGGAGTACAACAGAGTAGAAACATTTGCAGAACACTTAAAAAACATTTCGAAAACAGACTCACAAAACTTCCAGAATCCATGTTTGCAACATTTCCATACAAGAAAAGATACCTTTCGTAGCATGACAATGGCAAATGGCCCGAGGAGAGCAACGAGGAACAGAAAACCGATCATCCAACCAAGCGAGGGATCTTTGACGTCTTCCACTCGGTTACCCGGATAGTCAGGCCCGACGAGCTCATACGTCTTCCTGTCCATGGCGAAGATGTACGATGCCGAGCACCCTACCAAGAACAAAGAAGGGATGGATTTCCTTAGACTAAATGCTCGAGAAATAGGCGGCGACATGTTGCAGCTAACACTTAACACTGCAAAAAGCGACATGTTGCAGCTAACACTTAACACTTAACACTGAACGCGAGGCCGCCGCACGCAATTGACTTAGTTTTTTAGAAAGCTACTGCGTTTTTTATGTTTCCAATCGACGAAACAGAAAGAAAATAGGTTTTACGCTACATCCTCCCCTAGGGCGAAAACCCTAGGGTTTCGATATCTTCCGGCGTCACCGCCGGAATCCTGCCTCCGCCCCGGCCACCGATCGCTGTTTGTCCTCTCTAGACTCGGGCCGATCACGGGGGTTCCTGGTGATCCTTCCCAGCCTTGGAATAGAGCAAATCCGAGAGGGAACGGGGGCGTGTAGATTGAATCTACAAGATGTCAGAAGGTTCAGGATCTCAGGGGAAGCGGGAGAAGGAATCAGCGGAGGAACTCCTGGCGAGGCTCACGCTGCAGGAAGAGGAGGAAGACGACTTCATCTGGGAGGAGGAGTTGCCGGATATGCTTGAGCCGGCAAAGTGGCTTGCGATCGTTCGGGTTCATACACTAAAATCCTTTAGCCCTAATGCTTTGTATAATGACATGAGGGCGACATGGAATCCAGCTAAGTCAGTGACATGGAGGAAAATCAAGGCAAATCTGTTCACGGCACAGTTTGGATGTCTTGGTGATTGGAACAAGGCGATGGCAGAAGGCCCATGGCTGTTCAGAGATCAGGCGGTAATAATGCAGGAATGTGATGGTTTTAAGAACCCAGATGCCTTCAAGCTCGACAAGCTATCTGTATGGGCACAGATACACCGTCTACCGGATAAGTTCTTAATCGAGCCGGCGGTAAAGGGCCTGGCGTCCAGAATTGGAGAGGTGGAGGAGATCCAGTTGAAGCTTCCCGCTGGATTTTTTGGTGAGTTTGTCAGGGTCAAGGTGAAGATTGATATCCACTCCAAGATCAAACGCTTTGTCACAGCCAAGAAGGGAGAAGAGAGAGTCCAGTATCAGGTCAAGTATGAAAAGCTACCGATCTTCTGCTTTAATTGTGGTGAGTTTGGCCACTGGCACGAGGAGTGCGGGGAGGGAGAGCACGATGAAGCGAAGTTTGAATGGGGTGATTTTGTGATGGCTGACAATTTTCGTTTCAACACTGCTGGTCGTGGAAACCACGGACCTCAGAGGGGCCGTGGAGGTCAATGGTCGGGGGGGCGAGGACGAGGTAGAGAACCCTATAATCCCAATCAGAGCTGGCGTTTTAATGCCAGGCCACCGATGCAGACAGAACAGGAGGCCTCCTCTGAAGGGACCGAGCAGAATGGTGGGAAGGTAGTACCTGCCACAGGTGTGGGGGTAGTTTCCATTGCAAATCAGGGGTCTAACAAACGCCTTTCGGTTGAGAATATTACAAGCCCAAGATTGGAAGTGCAGACGGGAGGGATGAGAGATGCTCGTGAGGTGGTAACCATAAGGGACCAGCTTTTGGTGCCACCCCCACCTCCAGTGTATGTGTCCCCTAGGAAAGAGAACAAACGCCCGAAGAAGGGGTTGGGAGAAGATGGCTCAGCTGCTGGAAAACTGAAGACTGGGGAAGATGATAGTAATGAGAAAACAATGAATGCAACATCGGCGGGCTCCTCCGAGGAGTACCGCCGGGCACAATGAGTATCTTAAGCTGGAACTGTCGTGGCGCGGGCAACGCTGCGACAGTTAGAGAACTTCGCGATATTGCGAACAATTTTGCCCCTACTCCTTTTTGTATTGTTGAGACCCAGATTGATAGATCGAGGGTAGAAAAACTAGCTGGAAGTATTGGATATGATAATGGATATGCGGTCAGTAGTCAGGGTAGAAGTGGAGGACTAGGTTTGTTTTGGAACAATCCAATAAAAATTGAGATTTTGGGCTTCTCTGTGTATCATATTGATTGTTCAGTTGAGGAACCGGGTTGTGACCCGTGGAGGTTGACACTTTTTTACGGAGAGGCGCAGACTCATTTGAGATATCAATCATGGGATATTTTGAAGGGGATCAGTACTTTGAGTAACCTCCCATGGGTCTGTATAGGGGATTTTAACGAGGTACTACGTCCGGAGGAGCAACAAGGCATTGGGGAGAGGAGCAATGCCCAAATCCAGGGGTTCAGGGATGCCATAGACGTATGCATGCTGATGGACATAGGCTATCTAGGCCAATTCTGGACCTTTGAAAAAAAGGTTACTGGTGGCAGTTACACACGGGTACGCTTGGACCGTTCTCTGGCTTCAGCAGAATGGAGCGAACGTTTCCCAAATGCACAAGTTAAACATCTAACAGCAGCGACCTCGGATCACTGTCCCATCTTGCTAGAGTTTCAAGGGAGGGCACCTAAGCACAAGAAGGGCTTTAAGTATGAACTTATGTGGGAAACTCACGAGACGTGGAGAGACACAATTGCTGCCAGCTGGGCAGGAGATCCGGTGGAGTGCATGGCAGATCTAAGAGCAAAGTTGAAAAGAGTCTCGGTACAGCTAGGAACCTGGAATAAGCATACTTTCGGCTCAGTACGGAAGGAAATAAAAAGTTTAAAGTTGGAACTAGAACGCCTGCGGAGCGATCCGGCTAGAACAGCGCCGTCACGTATTGAATTGAAGATCAATGAGAATTTGATTGAGTTATATCACAGGGAGGAAATAATGTGGAGGCAACGCGCGAGGCTGGAGTGGCTGTCGGCGGGAGACAGAAATACACGCTTCTTTCACCTTCGGGCAAGTGAGAGGAGGAGGAGAAATATGATTAAGGCCTTGGCAACATCCCTGGGTGTGATGACAGAGAACCAGAATGAACTCAAAGTCATGGTGACAGACTTCTATAAGAACTTGTATCTATCAGAAGGGGTGAGTGGCATAGAGGAGGTACTTGATAAGGTACCGGTGAAGGTTACAGAGCAGATGAATGCCGCTCTTCTGGCACCTTACACAAATGAAGAGGTCAAGACAGCCCTCTTTCAAATGTTCCCGACAAAGGCACCGGGACCGGATGGGTTCCCCGCCCACTTCTATCAAAGGCATTGGGATATATGTGGGGATGAAGTTACCAAGGCTGTCCTGAGGATTATCAGAGGGGAGGAAAGTGCTGCATCTATGAATGACACCGTTTTGGTTCTCATCCCGAAGGTAATGAATCCTACCTTACTTTCTCAGTTCCGGCCTATAAGTTTGTGCAATGTAATCTACAAAATTGCCTCCAAGGTTGTTGCAAACAGGCTCAAAGTGATCCTCCCAGACATCATATCTCAGGAACAGTCAGCTTTCGTTCCAGGAAGGTTGATTACAGATAATATCATATGTGCATATGAGTGTTTGCACTTCATGAAAAGAAGCAGAGCAAAAACCAATAGTTATTGTGCACTAAAATTAGACATGATGAAAGCTTATGACAGACTGGAGTGGCCATATCTTCGAGCCATGATGGAGAAGCTGGGATTTGCACACTCCTGGGTTAATATAGTGATGGATATGGTTCAGTCTGTATCATTTCCAGTCCTCTTCAATGGAGAGAAGCTTGAACATTTTACTCCTACCAGAGGCATCCGTCAGGGAGATCCAATCTCCCCCTATCTTTTCTTGATTGCAGCAGAGGGCCTTTCGTGCCTTTTAAGATCCAGTTCTCTTTCGTCTAGTCTTCAAGGGGTCAAGGTGGCTCCGACAGCTCCGGCGGTCAACCATCTCCTTTTTGCTGACGATAGCCTGTTGTTTTTCAAGTCAAGTGTTGAGGGGGCTGCGAGGGTCTCAGCTTTATTGGAGATATACTGTAAAGCGTCGGGTCAGAAGACAAACAATGCAAAATCTTCAATCTTTTTCAGCAAGAAGTGCCCAAATGAGGTGAGAAATGAGGTCAAACAGATTTTGAATGTAACAAATGAATCTTTGAGTGAAAGATACTTGGGGATGCCCACGGAAGTTGGCCAATCTAAAAAGGGTACTTTCAAGTATTTGAGAGATAGAATTTGGGAGAAGGTGAGAGGATGGATGGAAAAACTTCTTTCAGTTGGAGGGAAAGAAGTGCTCATCAAATCAGTGGCTCAAGCAATCCCAGTATTTTCAATGGCGTGCTTTCGGTTACCCAGAGGCCTTTGTGAAAATATTGAATCCATTATAAGGCAGTTCTGGTGGGGGAGCAAACAAGGAAGGAGGAAGCCCGCATGGGTATCTTGGGACGTCATGACGAAACCAAAGTACCTTGGAGGCATGGGGTTTAGGGATATGGAGATTTTTAACCTTGCTTTGTTGGCTCGCCAGGCATGGAGAGTACTGGAAGATTCAAACTCACTTAGTGCAAGGATATTGAAGGCTGCATATTTCCCGAACACAAGCTTCCTGGAGGCAGAACTAGGCCATCACCCCTCTCAGATTTGGAGGGCTGTTCTTGATGGGAGAGACATTCTGAAGCAAGGCATTATTAAGCGTATTGGCAATGGGCAAACAACAAACATTTGGAGAGATAACTGGTTACAGAGGTCTGGACCTTTCAGACCGATCACTGCCCTCACTCCTAACCCGCCTGTGATGGTAGCGGAACTTATTGATTCGACCACAGCATCGTGGAAAGAGGAACTGATCCGTAACACCTTCGTGCGTTTCGACGCTGAAGCCATCTTGTCCATACCGATATGCACTAGGGCGATAGAGGATTTTTGGGCTTGGTCCGCCGAGAGGAGCGGCAGATTTTCTGTTAGTTCAGCTTACCGGATGGTAATGTCCAAGAAGGAGGAACGAGGGGACTGGCTGGAGCGGACCCCGGGCGGCTCCTCACTGAATGCTAACCGAAGGGACTGGTCGACATTGTGGAATATAAAGGTGCCATCCAAACTAAGGGTCTTCCTGTGGCGGCTGGCGAGGCACACTATGCCGACGATGGACGTATTGCATCACCGGCACATGTCAGAAACTCATCGGTGTTTGCTATGCGGGAGGGAAGATTCATGGAGACATGCACTCTTGGAGTGCACGATGTCACGGTGTGTGTGGGCGCTCTCTGAGGATGAATTGGTGCAACTTTGAGTATGAACACGAATCCAAACGCGAAACACTGGCTGCTGGAAATGCATGATCAATTAACGCACGAGAGGTTCGTTCTGCTGGTGGTCACCCTTTGGGCCACATGGAGAGCACGACGTAAGGCGATATATGAAGGGGTTTTTCAGAGTCCTGAAGGAACTAACCAGTTCATCAAGTCATACATAGTGGACCTGCAAACTATCGCTGCTGTGGGCAGTGGTCAGGAACAACATCAAGCGACGAGACCTAGCCACTGGATTGCACCACCGGACACGTATGCGAAGATCAATGTGGATGCGGCGACCGCAACCAACCGAGGAGTTGCTGCTGCTATCTGTCGAGATCAAGCTGGCATCTTTCAAGGTGCTTCGGCTCTGGTTATCAAGGGAACCAATGATCCACCAACGCTCGAAGCATTAGCAGTCAGAGAGGCTTTGGCGCTTGCCGATGATCTTAATAGCTGCAGAATACATGTCGCTTCTGACTGCAAAGTTGTACTGGACGACATCAAGAACAAAACACCGGCTATCTATGGAGCTATTCTGCATGAAATCATAGATGATAGTTCCACTTTTATTTCATGTACCTTTGTGCATGAGTTTAGGAGCTCGAATTTCGAGGCTCACAATCTAGCGAAGCATAGTTTGAATTTGGGGGTTGGCCGCCATGTGTGGTTAGGCAATCCTGGTAATCTTTCTTTTGTACCTTTGAACATTGGCACAAGTTAAATAAAGCTTCGCGTGATTGTCTCAAAAAAAAAAAAAGCAAATCGTTACAAGAAATCATCGTATCCGCTTGGTTGGCATCAGCAATTACGTAAATACTCCCTCCGCCATTTTCATCTATTTTGATGACAAGTATTTTCGAACGGAGGGAGTACTTTATTAAGAAATCGTCACATGTCACATCTCTTGGAAGATTGCTGCAGTCTTTGTTCAAATGACGGTGTTAGTACTAAAGTTTGTTCTCAAATGTGCCCACAATTCGAGCCATCACGAGATACCAAACTTCTTCAAATGTGTGGAGCTTTGATCACTATACTGTGTACCAACTTTGAGATTCGTCGGCGTCAATTTAGGCGCGTGAGATTTAGTTTTCCTACTTTCCTGCCCAGCTTGGCAAAGCGCACAAGCATTTTATTTTTATTTTTTTGAGGCAAAGCGCCCAAGCATATGCAATTGCCAGAGAGCCGTACCGCGCAAGCAAGCAAAAAGTGAAAACACTAGCTTAAGCAAGCAAAATGTGAAAACTGCAGCATTGGAAACATAAAAAACGCAAGAAAACAGAGGGGTCGAGATATCAACAGAATGAACAGGGCTGCTGCTATTTTCGCCGCAGTATGATTTACACGTGTGTGAAATAAATATGTACACGATGCGGTTCTCTTCTATTTGTGGCATCCAACATTCTAGCTACAGTCTATTTACGCCCTAGGCAAGAGATGGCTTGAAGTACATGCACATCGGCGGGTCAATCCTCATGATAGAGAGTATTGCAGAAGGGACGCTCCAGATGCCATCACCGCAGATCAAACCCGAAGCAACCGCGCCTGCAAAGTCCTCCGACTCCTTGCGGTTAATCTTCTCCCAGACAAACAGGATGACCGTCCCAACAAACATGTCAATCGCAAAATACGCTCCAATGTAGAAGGGAACAGCCATGGCCATCGGGAGCGGGATGAATTTGGACACGCTGTCTGGAGTGACGTCCCTCAGGAGGTTGATCGCTATGGCTGCAAAGAAGAAGAAAGAGCAGATTGCTAGGCAGTGTTGGGGGAGGGCCGAGAATCCTTCGACGCCCAAAATCGCCATCTCACGGAAGATGACAGCATATGGAGCTTTGAACATGCCATCAGGATTGCCAATGTCAAAGGCCGTCCAGTAAAGCCAGAAGGTGAGAGGAGCAATGACACAGCCAAGGGCAGTCCCAATCAACTGTGACACAAACATGGACCTTGGTGAAGAGAGGGTCAGGTAACCAGTCTTGAAGTCCTGCATGAGATCAGCGGCTGTGGATACTATGGACATCATGACACCACAAGCTGCTAAGCCGGCGATCACACCACCATGCTGGCCAACCCATGAGGCAAAAATGAAAAGACCAATCTTTCCGTATGTGGATGCAAGGTTCCAGTCTGTTAGGCCAGTGCCGTATGAGTTGCAGAAGGCGAGTAGGGGTGCAACAACATAGGCAGAAAGGACAAGGTACGACTTGAGCTGTGGGAACATCATTGGTACAGTTGCAGTTGAAATTGCTGCAAGCCCCACATAACCAGATCCTGCTAACCAGGGAGGGATACTGTCCTTTACAAATACATCATTCAGAAGCTTCTCTTCGGAAGATAATTCAGAACTTTCATCATCTGCAAAATAGTAAGACATGAACAAGATGAGATGCATGCCATGTGATATACTGGTAGCCTGGTAGGTGTAAAGCGTACAACAAGAACATTACCATCCTGAGCCCGGACAAGGGGAAGCCTTCCTTGCTTTGATCGTGCATTCATTATTTCCTTGATAGTAGCATAAATGATCTTGATGAGGTTATAGATACCATCACCAAGTATCACAGATACAGAGATAAAAACCTGGAAAATGGGATGGAGAGACAATTTAGTTTTTGCGAAACATAAGCTTGTAAAGAGTTGATGAGTAAAGAGTGGTCAGTCTGTGAACAAAGAATAGTTTCAGAGTTAAATGAGCTGCCATCTATATATTATAATTTGCTAAGAACTAACAAAATTTCGAACAATCTGAATATTGAATAAATTTTTAATGCTTCCATCACAATGCCAGCTAATGAAATGCATAACAGCAAGGGAGTCATTAGTATTACTCCATGTTTACTTCAACAGCATATACATATTTACTTGGCTAATTATTATCGAGTGGAAACAAGCCACAGTTTGTAACAAGTGATTCATAATCTAGTTCTAGATCTACTACAAAAATCATAGGTGGATTGTCAAGCTGCAGCCTGCAGTATGGAATTAAATGTTGTTATAGATGTAATGAACAAACAAAATCTTAAATCAGTATACCTTGTATCCATAGAGCCCTTTGAAATCATTGCTTCCGAGGCCAGCTGGGTACCATTCCCCAGCTTTTGTGGATATATACGGCCAGAGAAAACCCCAAGATATGATGGCTCCAAGAAGTGTGGAGCAATTAACAATGTGTGGGCATATTAGACCACAACCAATATAGGTTGGACTGAAGTCAAAATAAAACCTACAAAATATGGAATAGGTAAACTTTTAGTATGGGCTAAAGGATAATCCATCTTAGGTCATGAGAAATTCCACATGATAACTAACTTATAGAAGTGGGAGGGGTGGTTAAAGGCCGCCAAGGGGGCAAAGAATGCAAATTTCTTTCCGCCCTCAAAACTAAAATGAGTATGCATTTTCACTTACGACTAGTGAACCTTAGAGGAAATGGCAAAAACAAATTAAAAGCAATCTTACGTGTTCTTAAATGCTGCAAGTCCGAGAGAAGGGAAATTATCGAAGCCACAAGAATCCCCAACACCACTGAAGAACCACTTAAAGCAATTCCAGATAAAACTTATGCTTAAATACTTTCCAAGACAGCTAACTTGTTTTCTGCAACCATAAAGAGAAGTTCAGTATAAATACAAAGAAACTTGGAACACTGCTACAAAGGAATCAAAGGACATTGCAATTTAACAAGTATATGCTGCATAACTAGCTGAACAGACAAGAGGAACTGTTATTTTATATCTTCAGCTCCACCCTGTGTGCATAAGTTAAACATTTCATGTGCACTCTCTTTCCAAGCCTAATAAGATATTTAGTATTTAGAGTACATAGCATCATTCCTGGTCTGAATACAATAGAACCAAACTTCCATATATATATAAACTTACGATCGGCATTTCCTATTTGTGCTTTACAAGGAAAAAAAAGATAAAACTACCTAGCACATCTCCTCAGTAAAGTTCAGTCCATATAAAATATCACCTAAATGCTGGTTAGATTACTGTGGCAAATAGTACTTATATTTCTGTACACAGAAAAGGTGCCATCGATCTTATATAACTAAAAGAAGTTGCATTGATGGTTAGAAGATGGTGCCAAAAATACTCATAGCAATAGGAAATATAAATGCTAAACTTGGATTACCTGATATAGCAGTAAAACTACTATAGGTACATTCTTTTTATTAGTTTGGGACTATTAATTTTGCAGTTGTTTTTACAGCATAGTTTCATGCAAAAGCCCTATTTATTACACCAGTGGACTAAATTTCAGTTAACTGTTTCATGCATATGAATATCTGATTGAGTCACAGGGAAGAAAGGGAATTTAAGGACAACGTACTCAACAAGAAGAAACAATGCACCTTGAACTACCCATGCAAGCCAATTTATTTTTGCACAAAACTAACAAGCAATGTATGTTTCTTACTCTGCAAGTTCAGCTCCAGAAGTAGTGTGGAAGCTATTTATCAACATAGCTGTAGCAGTTCCACTAGGATAGGTCAGCTTGTAATCAATTGCCATCACCTAGCGAAAGCCAAAAAAGACATCAGTTTACAAGGTTCATATTAGACACGTCCAAGTTAAGCCCACTTAATCAAAAAGAAAAAGTGTTCAGATAAACATAAGATGAGTGGGTACCTTGCGCAGCGCAACAAGACTAAATAGACCAAGAAAGCTAACAACAAACATGAATCCGATCATCCAGCTCAGTGAAGGATTCTTAACATCTACCGCCCTGTTACCAGGATAATCAGTCCCGATGAGCTCATAAGTTTTCTGATCCATTGCAAGCATATACGACCCAAAGCCACCTGCATCAACAGAAATATATTAATTGATATTGTGAGTTCAATGACAAGGGTGCAATTGCGAGCAATCATAGCAACCCCCTCCCACTCCCAACGGAACACCAAAACCGGCTATTTATGATGTAGTAAAATTTAACATTCCCTGCATCAAGATATCTCTCAAATCCTAAGACAGTTGGCACAAATGAGAGTCATAGTTCCACAATTCAGGAAGGCTTCTAGTTAACTGGTCTAACCAAACGTAAGTAATAAGCAACCCAAAATCACACGGCAGAATCGCATCTTCCCACCTAGCAAGTCAAGCAGAGCAATCTACTAAGTAACGTTGAGAAGAAGACGTACCGCTGAAGGCGAGGCCGTAGCAGGCGACGACGCAGGTCTGGATGACGGTGTTCTCCTGCTTGGTGAAGGGCTTGGAGACGATCCCGAACCTCTCGAGCGCGGCCGTCCAGGTCCGCACGAGGAAGTAGCCGAGCAGCCCCGCGGCGACGTTGAGCGAGGGGATGATCCCCACCGTGAGGTTGAGCTTGTGCGTGATGAGGCAGAAGAGCACCCCGAGGATGGCGCTGACCACTATGCCCCGCACCGTGAGCTGCTCCCGCCACGGCGGCACCACCTCCGCCTCCGCCGCCGGCGCGGCGCCGCTGCCGCCGGCGAGGAGGGGCCCGGTCATGTCCGCCTCCGATCCCATCTTCGGCGCCGCGGAGGCTAGTGCCGAGGCGAGGCGACCCTCCTCGGATCTCACGGATTCGGGGGATAGCTGGTTTCGTGTGGGAGAGGGAGAGGCGACGCCGACGATGGAGGAGGTGAGGACTGTGCGGAGGCGGGGAGGGTGTATTTAAGAGCCGATTTACTGCTAAGCTAACAACTGGTTTCGGATATGGCCACCGCAAAGCACAGACACCTGGTGTGATACGGGGTCCATGACATGTGGGGCCTAGAGCCCGTGACCTTTTCTTTCGGGCCGTGGCACCCTATCCTACCTAGGGTCGATGCCAATGCGGACCCACCTGGCAGTTCCGAGTTGGATTCTTCTTTTCACCCGTTCAGACGTTCAGAGTTTGATTCTGAATTTATTTTTTGACAGTTTGATTTCGTCTAAACTGCGCCGGGCAGGTGGGCCCGGATTATACCGGTATTGGTAAAGAGGCGTTCGTTCAAGCCGAGCGAGAGAGACGTGCCGGCTATCCACGTGGGGCCCAAACGTGCCGGTTGAGCCCACCACGGTAAAGGTTTCCGGGCCCGCCTGTCATGGCCCTCGAAAGGAGCGGGATGGTTCGAGCGCCGTGAATCTTGCTCGAACTGGGGGACCTCGAGATCTTCTGTGGGAGTGTGAAAACGGCCCCCGTGCTGGCTCATCGCACACGTCGGTGGGGGCCATGACCCAGAGGGAGAACGAACTGTGACTGATAGTTCCACGTGCGGTGCTCGGGACCAGGATCTACTGCGGTGGCGTGAGGCTCCCGGTGGTGCGAAGCCGTACGCTTTCACTGCCGTCCCCGTAACATGCGGGTGGTGTTGGCCGGACGCTCGCTGTCTGGTGGGTCTTGTCTCCCTAGCTTTTATACATTACTTCCACAGTAATAATACTTGTTTTGTTTTTGTTGCGGGACGGCCCATCTAGTTAAGTTAACCGTGGCCACACAGTTCTACCGCTTGCGTGTGTTGCTACGCTAATCAACAACGCAGAGCAAGCTCAAAAGAACTCGGGCCTTGATTGAGATCTTGTGGGCCCGGATGTAAGGGTAACCACACATGTACACTCGCTTGAACCATCAGGAAATGTGTACTATATCTTGTGGGGCTGAGTGTAATGATATCCACAAATGTACTGATGATTTGGTCTGCTGCTAATGTGAACCATCGAAGCGAGAGTGCAGTACCAGTACCAGCAGGAGGCTATGCGTTTGAGTTTGACCCTGATTTTTAAGCTGAGCACGAGTTCCTCGCTTCTCGCGGTTGGTTAGCTTAACAATGCTCTTACGTCCGTTTTAATTGCTTCGCTCGCTTCTGGCAGTTGGTTAGCTTAACCAAGTTTCTGAAACGGGATACTCTTCCACACCAAGAAAAAAAAGATTAATCCGAGTTCGCACACGAACACGTCACCGTATACCTCCAACGCCAAGGGTGATGCCGCTCACGTTGAAGGAGACTCGTCCGGAAGCGCGGTAAGCAAGCAATTCGACGGGCGCTTTTGTAGACTCGAAACCCCACACGCCAATGAGGGACCCCGTTAGGGCATGTGGCGGCTATGAACTGCCCTAGGTCAACCTGATCGCCCCTAGGTTCGCCCTCCTGCAATGAAGAAGAACGAACGAAGAATGAGAAAGAAGAACAAGGGAGAAGATAAAAGTAAATGTAAAAGATGATAGATTGATTTGTCGATTGTGTGTTGTTGTTCAATCGGTCATCACCTCTTTGTCTATATAAGAGGCGGATGTACTTCTCATACAAAAAAATGACTTGCCTTGTTGTCCAAATCATCAAAACCAAAACACAGATTATTCACGACCTCCGGCCCGGATGTTCGGCTGAAAGCCCGGATGATCCGGCCAAGCCTAGTTTTCTGACAACAGTTCACTAATCGGGTTGTAACTTTTGCATATGAATTCGGATTAAGACGATTTTTATATCAGAATCAACCTCCTCAATGATACGCACAACTTTACTGTTGAACACTTTTTGATTTGAGACCATCTTGAGGGGGGTTCGGGCTATTTTCTAAAGTCTGCAGTAGAAAAAGTTGTTCGGATGTCCGAACTTTGCCCGGATCGTCCGGCCTCCACCCGGATCATCCGGGTCTACCCCCAGATCATCCGGCTTCGTCCTTAAGCTTATGTTGTTTGGTTCGTTCGTTCGGCCCCCGACCGGATGATCTGCACCCCGGCCCGGAAGATCCGGCCAAACACAGATGCAGCGCGCGGTTTTGGCTTTAGAATTTGCGTACGGCCTTGGATGGGGACGATTTTTTATATCAAAATCGTCCGTTTCGACGAGGCGAAGAATTTTAGTTTTTAAACTTTTTTCATCCGAGGCCATCTTAATTACGCTTTTGGCCATGCAAGAATATGGTGTCAACACATGTCCCCCTATTTTTCAGCAAATCTCATGTGCCAAAAATAGCTTGCACATAGCTTATTCGAAGGACAATGTTAACACTTCATCGGCCATTTTGCATGTTCTTAGGACAATAAGTATATACCGGACATCTTTACTCTTAGAGCTATAATTGTGCATAGGCCATTTAGATTAGCAACAAAAGTGTAGCTAATCGAACGTATGATGATTTGGTAATACCCTTTCATGATATAAGAAATTGTATTGCATCCATGGATTAAAATATTCCCATGGAGGATAACCAATTATTCCTAATGATGAATTTCATGGCATAGGCATTAATGGCAAGTTGAAGAATATGGATATTGTTTGAACCGAAGATTCTGATGTGCAAACCTTCGGCTTGGTTGTTTAGAGCTTTCACTCTTCTCTTTCTTCACCTTTGTCGCACTTTTTGCAATGGAAGCTTGCGTATTATTCTTGTTGATAGCACTTCTTTTGGGAACCCATGCCATGTTCCTCTTTTCAAGTTCTTGTGCACTTAGCGTTTGCAATTTCTTTTTTTGCCGATACGATAAACCGAGTAGACGCCCTGGCTATGATTTTGTTTGAAGCAATGGCAATTCTTATTTTACCTTGTGCACTCTCAACTTCTTCTTTTCAGATTCGGCACTTGATTGACTTGCCTTATTGCCTTTAATAGCCAATGTCAACACTTTAATTGGCTCTTTTTCGTTTGGGGTCATATCTAAAGTGACACTCTTATGACCATCTCTTTTGACGTGGTAGACTTGCTCAACCACCTCCTTATTATTCCTTGTGCTCCGAATCGATTCTTTTTGAATGAAACAATCTTTAACGTATGATTGCTTATTGAATGTGAGTCTTTTTGGAGCTGCATGATCTTTGTGAGATGGTCTAAAACAAGATGGAGAATGTGCACTTGAACCATACCTGTCCCATGATGAATATGAAGAAAAATTAGCATAGGGAGGTATCCATGGCATTGGCATTGGCGGCCCCAAATATGGTATGAATATGATGCATTGAAATTTCCACTGTGCCAATACCGGTCCTCGGGTTTGCGTCGAGGGGGTGAGCTTCACGCTTTTGAATTACTTGACCGATAAGCGATCTTCTCCTCTCTTATCTTATGAAATTTTCCCAATAGTTGCCCGAAAGTGACTTTCAACCTTTTCCCTTTGTGCTTACCTTGGCATTTGCTTGCATCGATGTTTGGATTTCTTGTTGTCCCCCAGTACTTGGCGTCTTCATTGCAACTTTAATGGAATTTTCTCCTTCAAGAATATTATCATTGTGCTCTTGAACAACTTCCTTACTTGAAAGCTTGATCCCATTATCCGCAGTTTTTACCTTCTCATGTTTAAATGGATCGGCTTGAAGCAGTCGATGCAAAAATCGTTTGCCATCAACACCAATCAGAACAGACGGGTCATCTCTTGGTGTCACAATAAATTTCAATCGTCCTTTATTGATGATCGATTTTAACTATTTGACAAAACATGTTGCAATCCTCAAAATTATGCTTGGACGAATCATGCAACTTACAATACATTCGTCCTTGGATTGATGACTTGACGTGGTGATCAAGAATTCTAACGTAATTATTTTTTAGCAACAAATCAAATATTTGATCACACATGCTTGAATTGAAGGTATACTCCTTGTTTTCTACCGATCTTGGTGCACGAACGGCTTTCGATGTAAGCAAACGAATGGTTCAGATTTGGAATCTCCCCATTCGACTATGCATTGTGTTTTGCATTCTATGTCCGATGTCTTTGGATAATATATTATATTAGCATCGGATTTTTCAAAAGAATTTAACCTTGGCCTTAAATTTTTGAAACGAAAATAGTTAGAACATGCATGGCTCAATAGAGACCAAGTGCAAGCCAAGTATGAAACAAGCAAAGGTACCCAATTAGATATAAACTTTTGATAAAGCGACGGGGAAAACTTTGGCTGCAATAATAAGTCATTGTCGGTCTTTATAAATGGCACAATGTGTTGACCAATACTCTTTGCAACGATTTTATTGCTAACAAATAAATTACCCTTCTTCATTGATATTCAAGATTGCTTATGAGAATTTTTCTAATAGATGTATCAACAGTAAAGTTGCGATCAAGTCGGAAAATAGGTAAATCACTTGCTAGACATACCTCTTCAAATACGTTGGGAGAGCATGATGGTTGCGTTACTTGAACAATATCTTGTTCCTCTTTTTCTAGAATAGATTCGTCATATGTACTATTTTTTGATAAAGGGCGTTTTTTATTGACTCATAATGTAGCATCGAGGGATACAATCATAGTGAGTACACACCTAACCTCTGCATATCTAGGATGCACACAGCCAACACAAACACACACACACACACACACAAAGATCACGCCAGCAAAAGCAAAGCCATAGCAGACCAAAGCTATGCGTAGGTGGATGGAGGAAAAAAAACTACCAAAGTGACGATATACAATAGTGACCATCGACACAACATTTCTCAAAAACATTAGGACTCCGAGAAAGGATCTCCACAAGTGTCGCCTTCAGGAAGGGAACGTCATTGCAAGTGACGCCATCGTCGGATCCAACCACTGAAGGTTGGATCAA